TTAATTTATATGGAACAGGAAGAAGCCTAGAATACGGTTAGAACTGTTACAGAGGCCTAAAAACCAAGGTGGCTTAGCCCTTCCAAATTTCTGCCACTACTATTGGGCCTCAAATGTTAAAAAAAACCCTTACAATTTCGTCACCTTCTGGTCTAGAAGATCTGTTAAAACTCCCGTTCAATTCTAAGAGACTTGTCTCCAGAATTAGTGATTTTATAACCTCTTTTAAAAACACAACACTGGCAAAGATCAAAGCAGGCTGGGTGGATGAGTTGGGGGATGATTTGGATGAGGACACTACTAAGCACTATACAATTCAAGATCCTACATCGCATCCACTACTCCAAAGCAAGACTGGCTAAAATATATCCTAACACAGATGCAAGCTGCGACAGGTGTCGAAACACTCCTGCTGACTTAACACATATGTTCTGGTCATGTCCAGCCCTGGCAAACTATTGGTCTGCCATCTTTAAAAGGTTGTCAGAAGCACCGCATACTAATCTTAAACCCGAATATTTGGTACCACAGATACATACAATATTAAGGAAAAGCGATAAAAACATAATTGCTTTTACAACGCTGCTTGCATGTAGAAGAATATTACTGCATTTTAAATAAAAAAATCCACCCAAAATGTCTTAGTGGTTAAGCAACCTGACACAATTCATACAATTAAGCAAAATAAAATATACTATATACAGGGCCAAATTCTTCTCTGTCTGGGATCCAATACTGACTCATCTAGGTAAACTTAAAACTGTGCCCACTTCCTTCAGCAGTCATCTTGCATCTGTATTATTGATTGTGATTGAATCCACGTGAACTTAATGCACAATTTCAGTGCTGGCGAGCCGAGGTATATGTTCTTTTTGTTATGTATATTTGCATGTACATATGTATATGGATGTATACAGTATATATATATATACTTTTTAAAATGTTTATTTATTTTCATTCTTAATTATTTTTGTTTAACCTTCAATTATCTACTTTTATAGAATTTGTGTCCAACATGTTCTTGGGATGGGGGCTTGAAATATAATTATGAGTATTGTGTCTCTTGCATTTGAAACAATGTAATATATAACTGATGCTCAATAAAAACAACATTTTTAAAATATTTAAAAAATGTTATTTCACAATTTCTTCTGGAAATGTATTTTCAAATGTAGTCTCTGTTGTATTTATCCATCACATAAATGTATTTGTAGTTTTTTATTGGGGGGGGGGGGGGTTATTAAAGAAGTTTCAGTCCTCCATATTGTGGAAAACATGTACTTAAGGATCACTTCCTTGCATTTGATTTACTTCAACAGAAGGAGAATTAGCTTTCTACTTTCACCATGCATGTCACTAACTCGACTTCTTCCCTTTCCCGTAGCCGTGTGCTTTCTCATCCCTCTCCTCTCTCCTCATCACTTCCTACAGGTGTCCTGGCTCTGGAGCTGTGGAGTCTGGATC